AGGAAAGAATGCCAGAAAGTTAGTCTTTTTTATGACCTGATTGCCATTATATGAACTTACACAATAAAATCTGCAATCAAAAACTCGGATGTGGCTTTTTATGTTGTAATGCTAAGGAATGCTTATTGTGGATCTTGGTTGCTGGGCGAGACAGAGTGAGTGAAGTGGCAACCCCTCTCCCTAGTTCTCCCTCGTCCCCGCGTCACAGCATCAAGTCGACTCCATAGACATATTTCAGTAGTATAAGCAGGGGAAAATCACTCCTGAAATACAATGATTAAATTTTTCTTTGTTGCAAGCAAACATTCAAAGCACAAGCTAAACATTAGAAAAAAATTTAACTATGTTCTCTAAACAATTGGATAACACATACACTTGTTAGCTGAGGAGCTGTCACCCACATTACAATCAGCACAGCGTTTGCCTGGCTACGGAATTCAGCTGAGGAGTGGCGCTCATGTGGACATGTAAATATCGCAATATATTTGATAATTGCCGAGTTCCCACCTGTCCTGCTGGGAAATGTTTGTCTGTTTCAGGACATTCCTTCATATTGTGGAATCTTTGTTTGCTGGGTTTTGATGATGTTAAAACACCGCCCATTAGCTCACTGGGAATTATATCATTGATGTTAAAGCTCCACTGGGAATTATATCATTGATGTTAAAGCTCTCACTGGGAATTATATCATTGCTGTTAAAGCTCTCACTGGGAATTATATCATTGATGTTAAAGCTCCTCTGGGAATTATATCATTGATGTTAAAGCTCCACTGGGAATTATATCATTGATGTTTTGCTCCACTGGGAATTATATCATTGATGTTAAAGCTCTCACTGGGAATTATATCATTGATGTTAAAGCTCCTCTGGGAATTATGTCACTGATGTTAAAGCTCCTCCAGGAATTATATCATTGATGTTAAAGCTCTCACTGGGAATTATATCATTGATGTTAAAGCTCCACTGGGAATTATATCATTGATGTTAAAGCTCCACTGGGAATTATATCATTGATGTTAAAGCTCTAAAGCTCCACTGGGAGTTATATAATTGATGTTAAAGCTCCACTGGGAATTATATCATTGATGTTTTGCTACACTGGGAATTCTATCATAGATGTTAAAGCTCTCCCTGGGAATTATATCATTGATGTTAAAGCTCCTCTGGGAATTATGTCATTGATGTTAAAGCTCTCACTGGGAATTGTGTCATTGATGTTAAGCTGTCACTGGGAATTCTATCATTGATGTTATTTATTTATTCAACTTCAGTTTGTAGAGTTATAGTCCTCAATGCTACCCGTCATTGAGGAGGACTACCATCAGTGGATATCTACTTTGCATCAGCAGGACTTAGTAGTCCTGGGCTAGCAGAATAGGGTGAATTTCAATGGCTGTAACAGATTAACTGCCCCGTGTTGATGAATGCATGCCAGTGAGGGTCTGGAGCCTTTGGCGAGGAGGGACTTTCATGTTCCCTTCACAATGGACAGATTCCAAGTTTCAAGCAGGCTATTCTAAGTATTACTATTGTATTCTTGAACTGAATGAAGAAAAGTGTATACAATGTTAATTCTACAAAGACACTTCGCTTTAAGTCAGCCTTTAAACTGAAGCAGGTTATTCTAAGTATGACCATTGTCTTCATAAACTGAATGAAAAAAAGTGAATGAAATGCTTATCCTCCACAGAAACTTCACTTCAAGTCAGTCTGTGGTAGTTGATGTCTCATCATTAATTTGTGGTGTCGTGACAGTCAATGAAGTACCATTCTTCCCATTGCTACAGTGGGGTGTCCTGATGCTTTAACTGACCAATCAGCTACACATCCTTAAAGTGAACAAATATGCACAGTTTCCAAATGGAAACTCTCCTGGAACCGATGTGCTGGTGTTTATTCTAAACGTTTCTATTAAGAGCTTCAGCATTTATGACACCTTGCAAAGAATTTAAAGTTGGCATTCCAGTCATCCTACTCCTCTTTAGATTCAAACATTGTCAGAGGTAGAGTTCAGAGCAGAGGTCATGACCTTTGGTGTTTGGTCACATGACAGGGTCTCATTGTGATGCTGGAAGCTGTTTTAAGGGCTGAGTAGAAATGTTTGTCTTTAATGTGGTGTGGTAATAAAGTTCATCAACTTGACCTTTTGCTCTTCCAACAACAAGAACTTTCCTTGATTAGTTCTAATTTGTTTGTGTTTGCAGATATGTTAATGTTTTCATTTGATAAAGAAAACATTGCTATATAACAACCGAGGAGCCTGCTTTGATAATTACATTTTGGATTTAGATAGTTCGGGTTTAGAAAGGCGATTTTACTAATTGTAGTTTGTAATATAGGACCAGAATTGTTTGACACTGAACTAATCATAGGATTTGTTTGTGTGTTTGTTATTTATTACCACAATTAACACCAGCTATATAATGGCCGTCTGTCAATAATCGAGTCTGGACCAGACGATCCAATGATTGATGTCATGAGCACCGATCCACTAAATTGGGATACGATGTCATGCACCAACCAAGTCAGTGAGCCTGACCACCCGATCCCATTAGTCGCCTCTTACAGCAAGCATAGTCACATCTTATGACAAGCATTGTAGCCTCTTACGACAAGCATGGGTAACTGGAGACAATATATTTTGTGAGAAACTGATTATGCAACATGGACATTTCACCAAGCAACTATATGCCTTGAAAATGATGAAAAATAATTTCTGTGAATGAATGCCAAATCAAATATTAGTATTTACATTGGCCACCTGGCATACACTCCAACAGGCATAGCTGGCAGCTGTGTGAGATGTGACGCTGAATTAATGCGCTATCACACTCAGTAAGTCGTATCAACGGAATGAGTGCTCGTCTGTCATTGATAATACAAGCAATAATTAACCCATCTGGATGAACTGATTCACACAGGGAACAGAGATCCATGTCTGGGGGTGTTTTAGGTGTATCTCATGGGTCGTGAGATTACCTGTGTCCAATTGTAATTATGGACAAATTGCAAACAGTAACTTTGCAGCCTCAATGTTTTTACCAAATGGGGTTTAGGAGCTTTCACTGTATTCTGAAGGTGATCAATTTTACCTTGATATAACCAAGACTTGAATGAGAACTTTACTGAGTTCATTATTAGCAAGATTAATTCAGTGGTAGTTTGAAGGAAATCTGATTTGAAGATTTTTAAAGTAAAATTTGGTATAAAGGATCATGGTTTGGTAGGAGGTACTTAAATGCACCGTTTGGAAATAGGTTCGTTTACAGCTTATACTTATTTACTTGAAATGGACATTATTTGCAAGGTGGCAGGGGATGATTCATAGGCAGTTTGGATTATTTCTTTTCATTGACAAATGTTCATGTTGTAAAAAAAAACAAATGGAGCAGGTGTCAGCCTACCTGTGTGAGCATGTACCTGTGATGACTTTAACGAGAAAGGTGTGTGTGGTTACCAGTAGATCCTTTGAAGTGTCACATGTCCGCTGCTAGTAGCTGATGTCAAGTGTGCCCGATAACATCCTTCAGCAGTGGCAGACGTTAGGTCAGAGGTCATGTGACATGCACATTTTGTAACAGATAACATGCTGCGAGGGGCCATCTCAAATCATTTCTTGTGAATTTATTGAGAACAATTGTTATCGCTGTGATATTGCTGGAATATTGCTAAAAGCGGCGTAAAACAATACTCACTCACTCACTGAAGATGAAGTTTGACAATTGCTTGGCACCAACTTGAATCAATTAATCACCAACTTATTTTTGGTAACCATGGGCCAAGTTATCCTAGGATCCGCCGCTTATGGTGGGTTTGAATCCTAGATTCAACCTGATTATGATACCTGGTTTGTCAGCGCCATATTCTTTCTTGTTGATTCATTTTTAGCCACCATCAATCATGGGTGTGTACTTTCTTCAGCTCAACAGTTTATATCACTGGATTGTCTGGTCCAGACTGGATTATTTACAGACCACTGTCATAGCTGGAATATTGCTGAGTGCGGCGTTAAAAAACAAACAAACAAATATCAATAGGGCACTTTGCCACATTGGCAATATTATTATCACAGTCTGGTATTTGAGACCTGCCCTGCAGAGAAATAAATGTTGTATGCCGAAGCCTCCCGATGACAGGTTTGATGATAACTGGTCCGACTAGCACTGTGAACTGATTGACTTAGCTCACCTGGCCGTATTAAGGGACGATAGCTCCTTTAGGCGGCATACAAAGTATGGATGTTTCTTGGGCACAATTGTCTCAAAAGGGAGACGGGAGGTAGTTACTTTTTGCATATTTTTTATTAAAAACAAAAATAATGAGGGAGAAGATTATATATAGGCTTCAGTAGCCAATGCTTAGTACTAGCTGCTTAAAAGGAGGATTGGGTGGTTACAGGTGCATTGTTACAGTCTACAACTGGTTCAATATTGCTCAACAGAGTTGACATCGTACAACATTAAATACCATTCACTCACTCACTCCACATCCTTCCTTCAAAGGCAAGTCAATTGTTCCCCCTGAAAAAACACTGGAAATTATGGCACAAGTCAAAATAGGAAATTCCATCAGAGTAAGAAATGACTTTTTAGCCTTTTAATTAACAGATAATCCTAAAAGAAACGGTTAATTGCTACTTTTATCAATTATCAACACTTGGTTATATTGTCAAAACTTAAACATGGATTATTTTTTTTGGAATATTTGTCATGTGTGCCTCCACCTTCTTTTTCAGCCTTAAGTTTGTTGAATAATGTTTTTGAATTTATTGATATTAAGCATGTCATTGTCAATCAACTTAACACTTTCCAAAGTAAAGATCTCACATCATGAGCACATGTGCAATCACTCTTGTACACACAATGTGCACATGCATAAGCTTTGTCAAGCATGAATCCTTGAATGCATCAACGTCTCTTATTAAGCATGTGTGTCACAACTGCATCACAATGTGGATATTGTTTTTGTTTATATTTCAATTTGTCACGTTTCTTTCAGGGATCTCAGCTACAACAAGCTTCTGTACATAGGCAGAAGAACTTTAAAAAGTTCTATTCTTTTGAAAAATTTGTAAGTAATATTGTTCTTGCAGAATGGTAATTACACGATTGTCTGACACTGAAAGGCTGTAAAATGTCATTTCTTGGAAATTATTGTTTTGTAGTTAATCGTTTTACCTCGCTTAATAAATAAATTCTGGAATTCTTGTTTCTTTGTAAATATCATTGCTTAGATTTATTCAAGCTGGAAATTTGAAATTAATTTTTGATAGATATATACTTCGAACACTGTGACCAAGAGACAGCCTTTTTCAGCCTATAGGTGCAATTCCTGTTTCAGGTGGTAGTGTTGTTTTTGAAATGCAATCACTCTGGTTCTTCTTTCATACATCTGCATATACTGAACAAAAAAGTTGAGGATTATGAATATTTTTATTGATATTTTGATGAAATTGTGTGCTCAATCTTCACTAAAACAAATATCCCCAAAAATATTCATGATCCCTAAAGTTTTTTGTTCAGGATATGTTTCAATTTATATTTTTTAATTGCACATGCAGTACTTTCAAATTCTTAATTCTGCAATATCTGTTTTATTTTTCAATTTAAGTTTAATTGTCATTCTTAAATTCTGAATGCATGACGTGTTCACAGTGCAAGCCTTATTCTTGTTTAAGCATGTTACTCTGTACAGACAACTCTATCCTTGTTTATAACTCATTGTCCATTTTTCAGACAACTTGACCATAATGAAATTACTTGCATATCTGACACTGGAATAAAGGGATTGAAGAACATGGAGATTCTGTAAGTATATTGTCATGATCTTACAGTTGGAGGATATGCTACTCAACAATGATAGGGATATACTCAATGTCCAGGTAGGGACTGAATATTACAGATTGCTTTGGGGTTGTCTAGAGATGGTATTTGATGTCAGTAGCTGTAGAATGAGCGCATATATTTTTCGGCTTCATTTTCAGTTTAAAAAAACAGTACCGGTACATGTGTCCTTAAGAGTTTGTTCTCTGAGTTGACTGACAGTGCCCCTATCAAAAATTGAATGGTATACAGGTGTGTTATAACTGACAGTGCCCCTATCAAAAATTGAATGGTATACAGGTGTGTTATAACAAACAGCACCCGTACACATGTCGTTAAGAGGTTGTTTGTTTGTTTGTTGATTACGCCACACTCAGCAATATTCCAGCTATATGACGGCGGTCTACAAATAATCGAATCTGACCAGGCAATCCAGTGATTGACATCATGAGCCATCTAGCAGATTCTTATTTAGGCAGATCCTTATTTAAGCAAGTCTAGCCATCTAGCAGATCCTTATTTAAGCAAGTCTAGCCATCTACCAGATCCTTATTTAAGCAAGTCTAGCCATCTACCAGATCCTTATTTAAGCAAATCTAGCCATCTACCAGATCCTTATTTAAGCAAGTCTAGCCATCTAGCAGATCCTTATTTAAGCACGTCTAGCCATCTAGCAGATCCTTATTTAAGCAAGTCTAGCCATCTAGCAGATCCTTATTTAAGCAAGTCTAGCCATCTAGCAGATCCTTATTTAAGCAAGTCTAGCCATCTAGCAGATCCTTATTTAAGCAAGTCTAGCCATCTAGCAGATCCTTATTTAAGCAAGTCTAGCCATCTAGCAGATCCTTATTTAAGCAAGTCTAGCCATCTAGCAGATCCTTATTTAAGCAAGTCTAGCCAGCTTCGGACAACTCTTTTCCACAATAAAATAAAATCAGCATCAGGAAAATTTTTTTTTTTCATTTTAGAGGCGAGAGGTGTATTGAATAATTAAGATTTCATAAACTCTATGTTGGTCCACCCTGTAGGTGTGTGTATCTCTGTGTATGGAACCAATCATGCTAGTCCGATCTCCTCAATGTGTTAATGACAAACACAAGAGCAAGCATCTTCAAATTACACTCAGTGCTTGTTCTTCCGCGTCAAACCTTTGTTGTTCTTATATACAAATATGCATTGTCCTATTTTTTCCATGAAAATTCAGTTAATTCATCTACAGGCAAAACAATTCACACATTCCCAATCTCTCCCCGGAATGTGACCGATGAAATCTATGTGATGAGTAAATATCCCAAGCTGCTGGTTTTGGTATCCGATGTTGAGATGGAGTCGAGAGGCTTGACTATGTACATGTTGTGGTCACCAGATAGCCTGGTGTTCCAACTAAAGGGATGTTCCATTAACTAACTGTAGACAAGGAACCATAGCCTTGCTCCAAGGCTCTTCTTAAAGAAAAGTCCATGGAAGTGTAGTAGTTCTATCCTCTTAATAAGCAAGTCTAGATATATGAACTAAGGACTCCAGTCTCTAATCAGGACAATTTCTTATTATTTTCATAATCTAGAACTTATGATTTAAGCTTATAATTATTGCCTTAGAGATTTGTGTAAGTCTAGCGGAACTTCTGCTCTGCTGGGGGCACCTGCCTAAACAGTCACGGATTGCACCCAGCGGTTTCAAAATGTTGTCAATCTGGAGGATGGCATGTTGTAGATAAATATGTCCTCCGCTAGACAAGCATGCCCCCCCGAACTGTGAAACTGTTATACACATTTGCAAAAGTAGGCCTGCACAAATGTCATCATTCATTTGGTTTGTAATTTATATGCCTTCCGTGAACTGGTTATTTTTGTGGCAGAATATTTGGCATACACTCTAAAACACTCATGTTATTAAATATGACAAGACTTGTACTTGACAAACATTAAGTCCAAGAAATAAAGTTTAAAAATATATATCACCAAAATAAATAGTCAAATCCAGATGGAGCCAAGAACAAGGCTTTATTTCAGGGCAGAGACAATGTAGACTTGCCAAATCATTCTAGACTTGAGTTGGTTTCCTTTTTAATATATTCTTTAGGCTCTGGGAGACAGATAAGACTTGTACAAGAAAGGTTAATTTTGTTAATGTCTTCATATTATTATTGATTTATGATCCCTAACAAAATCAATAGCCAATGTGAATTATTAATATATATATAAAAGTGATATGTTATTGAAAAATAAAAAATTTCGAATGACCTTTACAAATTTGTTTTGCAACCTAAAGGATTTAAGGCTTTGTATTGATTCTAACATCTTTCTGTAAAGGTCAAGTAAAGAAATATTACATACTTTGTGGGAGAGAAATGTGCGTTAAAATGGATGCCCTTACACAAGATCTGACAGTGTGGAGACTATAAACTCTCATATACCCATCATAAATAGCCGGGAGTTACGACATTGTTTCCAGGAAGTGACAAACTGTCTTCATCTCGTACATTGCACAGAAGCATCAACCCATTATACTAATGTTAAGTACCTAAGTCCCAATGTTGTCCATTAAAAAGTTACATTGTAAAGTTATGTATGACAATACAAATAATCAGCCCATTTACATCCCTGGGATGGGAGGGACAACAAACAGAGGGAAGTTAACCATATTTCAACCTCCCAGCGTCTGAAGCATTTTTAACAGTTTGTACAATGATAAAGCCATGTTTATTTAAGCAGGGTTTATAAGGGCTGAGGTGAATATTGCCATCGTATCTGTATCTTGGTGATAAATGTCTGTGTGGTATACATTTTGAGAAAAGGAATGTTATACTCCTGGAGAAAAGGGTAATATCTTAAGTGGCACTCTGGGTTCATGTTACAAAGGTATGTACAATTTATGTAGGGTTATACTTACTTATGAATATTAGATAGCAATGGTGATCATCCTTAAAAAGTTTATAGGTCGTGTGATTATTCATATGTGACCCTTCCCAAATTCTTTCACATTTTTAGGGGGAGCCTCACCCTCATATTTAGGTCCATTATGTGTCCATATTTGGGTGTGACTGTCGTTTGGTGATATTTTTAAAAAAAATATCAAAGTGTCTTTTTTACTTTTATTTTTTTACAACCTATTGATCAGTATTTTTCACACATAAAAAAATGCCTGTACATTTTTTTCATGACCCTTGATCTCTATGGGCTTTCTCCACAGTTTCTATTACAGGCATATTTTCCCCAATAATTTTGAGTGAGTTGGATTTTATGCTGCTTTTATCAATATTCCAGCAATATCACGGTGGGAGACACCAGAAATGGGCTTCACACATTGTATCCATGTGGGAATCAAACCCAGGCCTTCAGAGTGACGAGCGAACACTTTAACCACTAGGCTACCCCACCACCCCTTCAAGAATTAGGCATAGTGAAAGTCTATTCATTTCATGACCATCACAAAACATTTATATTTTTACAATTCGTCCCCCAAGCTATCATTGGAAGCCACATAGAAAACCCCTTAAGTCTTCGTTTGTTGAAGGCTTTTACATTTAAAAGAGTAAATACCTCATGAAAAGATCATAAAGAAAAATATACAACAATTTTGTTTACAAGCTTTGGAGTGAGCTATTTGCCCCGGTGAATGGCATGATACCAATGTAGTGTACAGTATTACTGATTTCAACTAAGTAGATCATAGAGAGACGATTAAGAGCTTACAAGATAGAAGGGATTCCCATTAGTCCAAGATAGCTACATCGTGTTCATGGCTCACCACTATTAATCTCATCTAATCTATAAAATGTATGTTTATGTTAGGGGATTATCCCTGAAGATAGTTATAGCTAAGGTGCTCAGAGCTATGACGTGTTGAGTACCAGGGTCACTAGCCATGGTCTTGAAGTAGGATTGACTGGGCTCCTGTCTACCTAAACTAGTAGAAAAGCAGCGGCCGATTTTTGTGGGTGGGATTGGATGACACTAAACAAATAGCAGACTATTTGAAGTTTGTTTGTCAAGTAAAAGTGTTCTCAACAAAATAAGCATTAGGCTTTAAAAGATAAAAGAATTGTTTCTCAGGCAATGGTTTTTAAAAATATTGTGGGGGCGGGTGGTGCCTTTTTTTTTTATTCAAACTAGTATGTAACCAATTAAACAGTTGTGTACCATCAATCAGAAAAGGGCCTCCCTACATAAATGTATTCCTGGATGAGTAAAATACTAGCAAACAGTATTTGACTAGCGTTGGACTTGTAAATATTTAAGGATTTTTTATGTTTTTTTCTAAAAATGGAAATATAAACGAAACATGCGACGACCTTTATGATGATGCAGGCGGTGCCTGAGAACCAAGACTTAATTTTTTTAGCTTTAGCGGAGCAATTTTCTCTAAACAAACTTTCGAGGTGAATGCATGTCTCCATGTTTATTTGCATTTGTAATTAATAAGTACCATGATAGTACGTATATACACCTATAACTGGATATGGTACCCTGATATGGTACAGATTTGTACCACTTTTTTTGGTCAACACCTCACAGTGGTTAAAAGTGGTAAGCCTGCTTTGCGTACCAACAGTGGAACCAGTTTAAACTTAGGATACTTTTTGTGGGTTTATGGGTAATGAAATGTAAGTGCATTAAATATATGTGTATAAGTCAGAGCTGCTATGGTAACGGTCATAAAGTTTTAGGAAAACATTAAACCAAGAAATTTGGAATCTGTTTGACATCCAGTATTGGCCATCATGGGCTGATAACTCTAGGAAGTAATATTGCTGACACTCCTGTTTTTATTGTGGGTTGATTAAGCTGACTTCAGCAGAAATACTTATGGTTGCAGTTCATCCCTGCTAATGTCAGTTTAGCCTCTCCTTAATCCAAGTTAATCCGTAAGATGTGTATCTATGCTGGGGATTATCCTTGAGGGCATTTATAGCACTGACACACAAAGCTGTGACACATTTATGACATAAGACACGGCCACAGTTCAAGTGTCAGCGTATGTTGAAAGTCAGCCAAAGCATAAGGTTATGAATGTTCTCAAGAAGAATCTTGGAAATATTATACTACCAAGAAATAAAGGAATGGCTAAAGAAAGAAACATGTATTTGGTATGAGATTTTTCATGTACCTTAACGACAGTTTATTTGGTAATGCAGTGAATATATTATTTGTTAAAACGTCATGTATTTTATTGATAGGTTTACTGAAAGTAGCTTGAAACAGGAATTGTGAATATTTCTTACATGCTTCCTTAGTATACCACTCATCAGGTGACTATCACTGCTGTCATTAGAATTGTCACAGCTTTGAATATTTCACAATGAAAACACTTAAAGGGAATATTTCATGGAATGATATCACCCACCCAGCGTGTATCCGTCCTGGTATTTGAATAGTCACAGCTTTAAGTATTTAGTAATAAACACACTCAAGGGAACTTTTCATGGATATCACCCACCCAGTGTGTATCCGTCCTGGTATTTGAATAGTCACAGCTTTAAGTATTTAGTAATAAACACACTCAAGGGAACTTTTCATGGATATCACCCACCCAGTGTGTATCCGTCCTGGTATTTGAATAGTCACAGCTTTAAGTATTTAGTAATAAACACACTCAAGGGAACTTTTCATGGATATCACCCACCCAGTGTGTATCCGTCCTGGTATTTGAATAGTCACAGCTTTAAGTATTTAGTAATAAACACACTCAAGGGAACTTTTCATGGATATCACCCACTCAGCATGTATCCAGTTTAATGACAGTTGTAAACACCCTCTGGTATCTACACTGGATACACTCCTATATCAACAAACATGAATCATTTCAATAAGTCGTCTTTAAGTGTCCCAGCAAATCTCTAGCGGCTTACACCAGCATTTAACATTCAAATAAAGCAGTGGAATTCACCGATCTTCTGTTTTACATAACCTGTCATTGGTTGGAGGCAGTGACCCATGGTATATGGGACTTATCACATGTGTGATGGAGCGTGATATTAGCAGTTATTATGATGGCCAATTCCTGTTATTGCCCCCTGACAGATAAGCAAGGCCAAGCAAGTTCACAGGTATTAAGATGGTTAAGTTGATTGTTTAGGTCATTTGAATCCTTAACTGCATATTTTGGCTCATTATTGATTTTCCTGTGGATTATATGCTACTCTACTTTTGATAGGGATAATCTGCCATGTCATTCTCTTTAAATATATGGGGGTACGGGTGGCCCAGTCGTCTAAGGCACCGCAATTCGCGGTGCAGAGTTGCATCCCTTGGACACGCCAGAAACATATGATTGTGGGTTCGAATCCCAGTCCTCCCTGATTATGTTTTTAGGTCTGTCAGCACCATACCCGTGCTCATGGGTTTTACCGAAGTGGTAAACGTCTGAGACCTTCATCACTCTGGGCTTTCCTCCCACATTAAGCCGACGATCTGCGATATAACTGGAATACTGTTAAAAGCAGCGTTAAACCCAACTCACTCACTATTTAAATAAACACTTGACATATTGTGAGCATCATTTTTGTGTATCATTAAAATATCAAAAGTAGAGGGGCATATCTTTACTATGATAAATATCATGGACCAATTCACCACCATGGCTTCAGGTTGAATCTGGTTTGAATGACACAGCACTGAAATAAACGTCCAATCAAGTCCCACAGTTCTTATGTGGTTGAAATAAGCATTGATTTCACTAACTCTCAACTTGTCTAAAATACAAGTGGGAAAGCCCAGTAGCATTAGGATTTCACTCCCACTCATTCAGAATGACATCTTCAACACAAAAACTTTACAGTTTTCTGGTTCGTTTTAAACTCCCATTTCTTTAGAATATATGTGCATTTTGAATGTAGATCTGTGCCAACTCTCATTCAGGAGAATCAGGCTTGTTGATTTCAAGCTCATGAGCTACACTGGGCTAACTTAGTGATAAGATTGAGATGGCGACATCAGTTTCTGAAATGAATCTATGGTGGGGAATGGTTCCAAGGTATTTGTTCTGATAGAATGGAGATATTAAGAATGAATAATCAGGAATAATTTTGGCTAACGGTATATTTCTCCGCAATGAGGCCTCAGCATAACTTCCTATGAAATCCTCCTTATATACTGCCATGAAAAAGAAAGTATACACCATTGTGTGATGGTGAAAAATGAAACAGACAAGAAATGGTTAATCGATGGTGATGTATTTGAAAAGAGTACATAGATGTGTTTTGGACCTTAAGATTGCAGTGTTTTGACGACTGTTTTGAGCCTAGTAACGTTAGGTAACTTTTGTAATTAAGGGAGAGAAATTTATTGAAATTTCTATTCCTAATGTCTTTCACTTTTGAATGCCTTTCAAAGATTTTAAACATTTGGAATTGTTAAATTTCAATGGTCTCTCTCTTGTCCGGCAGTTCATATATATTAACATTTAGCTTAAAATATTCAATCAAGGAAAGAATGAGTGAGTCCGGTTTTACAGTACCAACTCTAGTCCAGACATATTGTGGCACTGTACTTCAAGAATGAGCTTCCTGCACTGTACCCATATTGGGATTCAAACCTACGTCTACATTGTGAGGAGCAAACACTTTAACACTAGACTAACCAATAGTTCCTCAAGGCAAAAAAATTGAGACGTATTGAAAAAAAGGCACTTCTCATCTGTTTCCCATAAAATACATTACAACTTTCCTTGAAATGTAATTATGTAATTTAGACATAATTCCAAGGTAGATATGGAATATGTTTCTAAAGATAGGTTCATCCCACTAACCCATCTTAAAATCAATAATAATACGTTGAAAGCACAGGAGCGGTCTCACGGCATGGATATTGCCTCCATCAAGGGCGTCTATGAGTTAATACAGTTATTGCCCATGTGATATGGGGATAATACCCAGACAGATATAGACACATCTGTCATAACAGTGAGTGGGGGAAGAGATTAGGTATTTACAACAACAGCTCCACCTTTATCAATATATGCAGATGGGGATGTCAGCGTCTAGAAGATTCCCCGAGATTTACCCAGCAGGAACATCAATACACAACTATCAGAATCTGCAACATTTCTCTGTGTCAACATTCAGCTTGTTCTGTAGACTGACAACTTGGTTGAAGTATTTTTTTGCATAGCTTTCAGTTCAAAAAACTCCTGGACAGATTGACAAAAATAAAAATGGAAATGTATAGAGTTAGATTATCCTGCAGTTGGCAGTTGGAAAGTGTATCCTGGCTTCAGACATGTATACCATCTCATGGCAGTAGGAATGTGTATCATGGCAGTATTAAAGTATATCATGGCAGTATTAAAGTATATCATGGCAGTATAAAAGTATATCATCGTGATCATGGCAATTATAAAGTATATCATGGCAGTATTAATGTATATCATGGCAGTCTTAAAGTATATCATGGCAGTATTAAAGTATATCATGGCAGTATTAAAGTAAATCATGGCAAAAGGCAAGTATATCATGGCAGTATCTAAGTGTATCATGGCCGAATTATGATATATGTCAGTATTAAAATATATCACGGCAAAGGGCAAGTATTTCATGCCAGTATGAATGGATATCATTGCAAGAGAAATGCATATAAAAGTTGTATTAAAGTATATCATAGCAATAGGCAAGTATATCTTGTCAGTACGAGGGTATATCATAACATTTGGACAGTTATATCATGGCAGTTGGAAAGTATACAGTGGCGATAGATAAAGAATCTCACCTGAGTGTCTTGTTTTGAAACTTTTATCAAAAAGTGTTGATAAATTTTATATCAAAAGACACAAGAGTGATATTTTGTTTACCATCAGCAATCATTCTGTCAACTTTTTAAGTTTGTAAGAAAGTATATCATGACCTATTGTTGTTCCAGAACACTAAGTAATAACAACATCACAACACTGCCGAAGGATATGTTCCAAGGAATGACCAAGCTACGAGTCCTGTAAGTATAACATTCTTACTTCTGGAATCATTTGTTAGTTTTGCTGTTGTGATGATGATGATGATGAGGAGGAGGAAGAGGATCATGATTGTGATGATGGTGATGAGAGAGAGAGAGTGAGTATGGTTTTACGCCGTTTTTAAGCAATATTCCAGCAATATCATGGTGGGGGACACCAGAAATGGGCTTCACACATTGTACCCATGTCAGGAATGGAACCCAGATATTCCTCGTGACAAGCGAACGCTTTAACCACTAGGCTACCCGGATGATGATGAAGATCATGATTGTGATGAAGATCATGATGATGATGAAGATCATGATTGTGATGAAGATCATGATGATGATGAAGATCATGATTGTGATGAAGATCATGATGATGATGAAGATCATGATTGTGATGAAGATCATGATGATGATGAAGATCATGATTGTGATGATTATGATGAGGAGGAGGAAGATCATGATAATGATGTCAGTTGTGATAGGCTGTGATATCTGCATAACATCAACAATGCTGTGTGGTACAGGAAATGCTAACGTGAGCTTCATGTGGCCTGAACTCACTTGTTTTGAAACATGGATATTAAATTGTAGTAGAGCTTTCGGACTTCATTAGAGAAGGTTGTATTTGGAAAGAGTAGTTCCGACAAATTGTTGGACATTTGATAAATGGAACCATATTGGCAATCCACAGAACAAAATTCCACTAGCATTCAGCTGTGGGTCTCCAGAGTGACGTCTGGCGATCTTTAGTAGGCCTCCGAGATAGCACCGACTCTTAAAAAAGTGCATTGTAAAGTTCAGATTCCAGATGTTTTGTTTTTGTGTCTTGTGTTGAAATGTTGTTTCTGCCAGAGACTTCTGTCAAACAAGCTACAAGAACATTTCTCCCTTTTATGTTGTGGAACTGTATTTCCCTCTGGCAAGTCTGATTAATTGTATTGATGTGTAGCATTTAAGAATGGTATCAGAAGTAAACAAAGCCAAAAACTACAAATAAAAAAAGAAATTCAAAGAAATAAAAAAGTTATGTTTTCATAGGTGTTAGATTATTCGACATTTCTCCAAACATTTGCCGGCGTACACTGCATAAAACACATCACAATCTCCGAAAAAACACGATCCTTTCAACAAAGGGAGATAACTCTGTGTCTTGTTGATTAATGGGTTCTGGATGATCAGGAGAGAAGATCCAACATGGCTGCTTACATTGCATTCAGAAGCAGACGTTAAAAACATCCACTTGCACCTGGCTGGGGGAGCATTTGCTGCACAGTAGCGTGTGACAGTGGTATCGAGGGGCGGTAGATAGCTTTAACACTCTCATTAGAGAACACCAGCCTTTTTCCTCCCTCCCTCCCTCCCTCCCTCCTTCCCTCCCTCATGTTAAAGCAAGGCTGCTACTACCTCCAGATAAAATAAACACAGCAAATTGGTCATGAAATTCATCCTAGGAAGTTCAACCTATCCTGTAACAAGCGTTGCCATATGTGCATGCGAGGAGGTCATCGGAGAATCCGCGGAAAAACATCCCCTTCTCACCTTTTCCTTTTGGGACTTTTCTGATACCCTCAGAAAACAGTACTTCTCAACTTCAACCATACTTCAACCTTTGGTAAAAAATCTTCCTAAATGCTGCATGAGGCGTTCATTTTTGAAGTCCCATTTTAATCCCAATGGAAGAGAACAGTCCGGGACTAAGACCCATATGTTAAGCCTTAACCCCTGCAAACCTTATCTTCTGTAAGCAAATGCCAATCTTGTGTTGAGGTCATGGTGTAATACCTTACATAACCTTTCCTCAGATTTATCCAGTCTACCTAAAGGAGAGAGAGAGCTTCAAGGTTGTCTGACATCTGCCTTGTCAGTGATATGAAGTCGAGAGATAAATTGGCTTAATCATCCAAACTTTTTCACTTTGATCAACTTCACAAGGTCAATTCTGGCTCAGACAGGCCGATGATTATGGATGGTAAACACTTAGAGACAGCAATTCCTATGAGTCCTAAACAAAGTGTTGAAATATTTCAGATATTTCAAACCTTCCCATGGACACTTTTACAAAGGTGAGGTGAGGTGAAATTGGGTTTAACGTCGCATCCAAGATTATTGCACCGACGTGCATGCATGTGTTTGTGTGTGTGTGGCTGCTTGTACTAGTCCGGACTGATGCCACTTTATAGTGCTAGGTCACTGAGATACCATGCCGCAGTTTAACATGAATACCCCACTCAGACACAGTATACTGACTCCGAGCCGACCAGTCCTTGCTTTAGCCCCTTAATGCCCAGCGCCAGACATGGTAACAACAAGTACAATCTTTTAACGTCTTTTTGTATGACACGGCCAGGGATCGAACCCCGAGACCTTCTGCTCTCCGGGCGGACGCTCTACCACAAGACCGCGGAGGCGGTCCTTTTACAAAGGGGTGATATGTTTCAAGGATGTAGTTTAAGTTCAGGACAGATTTTTGTCTTTAGCATCCTTCAACCTTGGAATAGTTGCAGCATCTCTTCAGTGATCATAGAACTCTGACTGTCTTCACTCCTAGTTATTAATTTAGCAACAGCTGCAGTGTGAAGATCCCTTACTTTCACAAAGACTTGTGATAAACGTAGTGCTGTGATCACTTTGTGACACAGGATCCTGGAAGTCCTGGGTTTGAATCCCAGATTCACCGGACTATGATCCTTGGTGGTTTGTGGAAAACATATACAAATTGTTTCACGTTCAGCTTTCCTCCTCCACAGAGATGAAATGCTGTGAGATAAGTACATCCTCTCCCCTCCCTCTCTCTCTCTCTCCCACTCTCTCTCTCCCTGAATATTAATACACATCCCTGTATTCCCAGATTTATTAAGCCAAAATACCACCAATTAACTGAAATAATGATACAAGCAATGTTAACCCAACTCACTTACTCTCCCAACCCGGAATATTGATACAAACAACTTAAGGCTTTCTTCCAATATCAATTAACCAGTGAAGATCCTGGTTAGAATAGATCTTCAGCAACCCATGCTTGCCGTAAAAGGTGACTTACGGGATTGGGTGGTCAGGCTCACAAACTTGGTTGATGCATGTCATTGTATCCCAATTGCGTGGATTGATGCTCATGATGTCAATCACTGGACTGTCTGGTCCAGAGACGATTATTTACAGACCTCCGTCATATCGCTGGAAAACTGCTGAGTGCAGTGTTAAACAACAAACAAACAAACAATCAAACAAACAAACGATCCAGTATTAATTTAGCCAAAATAACATAATCTAGCTGAAATGATGATACAAGCATCATTAACCCACTCACTCACTCTCCCAACCTGGAATATTCATGCATATGCCTCATACATTCATAATTTTTCAACTTACACATAAATTTTCAATCTTAGTCATGAAAATGAAAATTTCACAATATAGGATCAGGTTAAAACAAGATGGTGCAGCATCCCAAAACAGTCCTAACCTTTAGCTAGGATCATATACCTGTATATTGGCTCTGCCTTCATCAAATCTGCTGGGACAGATAGACCTGTACTCAGATACAGTCATTAATCACCAAGTTAGCTCCTTTCAAGTAAGTCCACTTTCAATAATTATTTACCATATTCACTGAATATAAAAACGGGGCCTCCTTCCTGACATCTGCAGATGTAAGCGTTGCAATCATCAGCTTTGACTGACAGGAAATCCTACCCGTGTATTCCGTGATTACCAGTCTTACATCACTGTATAGATCAGCGGCATGCAAGGTGTTGCCATGTTGAAAACATCTTCACGTCTCCGTGGATCAGTGCCGGGGCTAATTGGGGAACTAGTGCGGATATAGCAACTGCTTTGTGCAACCAGCAAACGGGGATTCACAAGTTGGGAAAGTTTCAGAATGTTGTCAGTGAAGATTTGTTCAGAATACTTTGTTTTCGGGAGTGTGATGCGAGCATGATTTGGTTTAATATTTCGTGACTGGATTTTGTTTTAATACTTTCCTCAGTGATGAAAGGACCATCTTCCCAAGGCAAGGGCCTAAACTGACTTTGAAAATCCAGTTTCCACCCTTGCGGAAATAGGCTGGAGTTTCTGGGCTCAATCGTATCGATTGTTTGTTGTTTAGTGCCATTCTTTGTAATATTCCGGCTTTATGATGGTGGTCTGTCAATAATCGGGTCTGGACCAGACAATCCAGTGATTGACATCATGAGCATCAATCTCTGCAATTGGAATACAGTGATATGTACCAACCCTTTTATTTCAGTGTTGATATGAAAAAATATATACATATGTATATGTTAAAACAGTGGTCACATCCATTTCCAGCAACTCCAAACTACTTTTTACAACTACCAAATGCATGTCTAACTCTTGACCACAAGTGACAGTAAATACTTTTGTAAAATTCAGGACAGGCTCATCATTAAAACTTGAAAGAAAAGGTTTGGTGTGAAAATGTTTGTTACTGCATCCTATAGAACTGAAAACTGAAAGCTTGGTAATACTGTGGACTGTCAATCACACAGAATCCGCACTAGTGTCACACCACTGCCCCACTTTCAGCACTGATCAGTGTCGAATGTACACAGGAATAAATTTTACTAAGCAACATCAGCAGCTGTTACAGCTGTTCAGGTGAAAGTGTCATGTCAGTGTGGCTGGGGACATGCTGACAGAGTACAATTAACATTGTAGGGTTTAAAATACAAATTGACACTGGCACTTAAAAAACAACAAATCTTTGACATCCAACAAGTCAGACTCCCTGGGGTGGGACCAATCACCACACAGATGACAGGATCATTTACAAAAACGCGATTTTAAACATGTTTTTGTCAACATTGTTCATGTGAAACAAAAGTTGATTGTCAGCAGTTCAGTGTGTGTCATAAAAAAAACTTTGTTAAAAAAACTGGGTCGATGACGGCCAAAGAACCTCTCTGCCAGGAAGGTGTGCGATCTGGTGGTCAATGACATAAACAGATGGCGACCAATATGGCCGTGTGTTG